CATCTAATACCACTTTCCTTCACCTTGAAGAATTAACTTTAGCATTATTTGTAATCTCAATCTTGTGGTGACAAGTTATTTTAGCCTTTATTTATTTGAAAATATTTTTATTTTGCTTTCACTTTTGAAGGATCTCTTTACTTATTTACTGGGTAGAATTCTATGCATACATTTTCTTTCATCACTTTAATAATGTCTTCTAATGTTTCTTGATCTCAATTACTTTGAAAAATCAGTAATTACTGTTGTATTAGCTAGCTATTGTAAAGTTACTAGACTGAAGGGTACTGCAAAATAGATCAAGAACCCCCAAAATATCACACTCAAAAAGAATCCTGACATCCAGTGCACAAAGACAAGGCATACTTAGTATGAAAGAACTTTAATAGAATTAGCATGCAAAGAGATAAAAGAAAGGATGATAGTTCCTGAATAAAACACCAAATTTGCCCATCTCCTTGTGGATAAATACCTGACCAAAAAGAGTCAACCTCAAGCAAACCTCTGAAGGCTGAAAACTTGGCACAAGTGTCAGGCACTTTCTGGTGGGGAAAGTTTCCAGGAAAACAGCAAAATCAAAGTAAAAACCAAGATAATAGCTGCCATTGTCAGCCTCCCCACATGTCACCCCCTCTACATGTCTCCAAGTCCCCAAGAACCTAGTACAAGTCCAAGCTGAGAGGCAAGTGCAGCATCTTCACATGTTTCTGCTCATGTTGATTCCTCCAGGTCTCATTCTTGATCTCTCCCTTTTTGACTTCTTTCAGTTTCTTCTCCAGCGCCTACTCCTCTCTGCTTAGCTCTACCATACCTTGGGTAGGCAGGGAACCAGAACCACCCTTTCCCCTGTGGACCCTGTTAATGTGTCTTACATTTTCATTGTGTTTACCCTGCTTGAGTCTACCAAGTATCTAAGAACTACATAATACATTTCACCAATTCTAGGGAAATGCTTGGTTATCACTTTAAATATGTTTCTGTTTTATCCTCCTATGCTTATAAATCTGCACTTTTATGAGGTTTGATATAGTCTTAAAATTGCCAGTAGCTCTTTAAAAGAAAAAAAAATTTGATTTTTTTTTATATTGGATACTTTTTGTGGATCTGTCCTCAAGTTTACTGATCATGTCTTCTACGACTATAATACAGTGTCAGATTAAAGCTTATAAGAGAGAATTAACCCAGAAAACAATTCTCTAGTTGTAGGTAAATGAAAGTGATCAGGTTTTTTTCTACCCTCCTGCCATTAACAGCAGTGATTGACAACTGTGTTCTTATGCGCGTCCTTGCTAAAGGCATGTGAGTGAGGTTTGGGTGTGTGTAAGTGGACACACCTGAGCTGAGAGACTGAGTGTAAAAGAGAGGTGCCGCAGGACCACGAGGCAGAATGCAGTAGAGACCGAGAATGCCAGAGATCCCAGAAAGAATAAAGATTCACCCAGGGCTAGGAGGCCTGCCAGCCTCATGGCCCTCAGGCTTCCCTTCCTGCCCTACACTTATTTCCCTCACTACAATGGTGTAGAAAGGCCATTGAAAGTCTGAAGAAGCCACTGAGGGTGCCAGGACTCCTCCTGCACTAGTACATTGTCAATGGATTGTCTTGTGAGAGGATACATGCAGATGGTAGTTTTTTCCTCACTACTTTCCAATGCTTCAAAAATTGCAATGTAAATAAATATGCATATATACATATATTTACAATGAACTATAAGCATGTTTATCAATGGCTATTTATAATCCATAGTTTGTTATAATAGTGCTATTGTGGCAGAATTCCACTAGGAAGCCAGGCAGCATTCAGAGAGGAGGAGGGAGGGAAGATCTTTGTTTACCCCAACAGAGTAGGAGATTTTTCTCCAAAGTCTGAACCCCTAGCAATTACATAACAGAGTATTCATTGCCTAGAGGGGTACATTTGTACTTTGAAGCAAACAGGAAATACAGAAGCAGGAGATTCCTAAGTGGTAATGTAGGGTGCATAAGTCACGTGTGTGGCCTTGAGACCCTTTATCGGTTAACTCCCTTGAACTTTTAGTCTACATTAAATCTTTGTCTCAACACAACTGATGGAGGAAAAGAGTAGAAAACCTGAAGGAGGCATCACAAGGTTGTAACCTGACTCATGCAGGGAGGTGGGCAGAAGGAACTAACATGACCATTAACCCAGTCGTAAAGACTCCTATATCAGCCTGACATAGGGAATATCAGAAGCACAGACCTAAAGGTAAAGATACAGAGATTGGGCCCATTGTGAAATTCCACATAGTTATCCAAAATCAGCAGCAAACAGGCCACTCCACAAAGGAGTGAGCCTCTCCCAAATGGAAAAAGATGATATAAAATTAGGGTAGTCTCTGCACTGGCTCTGCCCACCTGTGACTATGCAGTTCCTTCTTTCACCCACTCTCTCCTTCTGCAGGGCAGCAGCCCCCTGCCTGCCCATCATCTGTATCAGGCCTGGATGTCAATGCATTGCCCGTCCTCAGTGGAGGCTGCTCTCCTAAGGTTGCCTGACTGCAACCATGTAGACCTCAGCAAATTTCTCCCTTTGGGGCAGCTCTTCCTGCCCACTTGTGTCTATGCAAGTGTTCTTCTCTGTCTGTCCTTTTCCCTAAAAAACTTGCTCTTTAAATATAACCGAGTCTGTCTCATGGAGAAACTTGCCAGGGGAACTCACTGCATTCTGCTGAAAGGGGAGCCTGGTTAAACCTTTCCCAGAGCTGAACCCAAGGAACCCGAACTCCAAAAAATGACATCGCAAATTCAGCTAATTTAACAGGTCAGCTTGACATTTTCCACTTAAGTACATATTATAAACATACCATCTTTAAAATGAGCATTAATGTAACCAAATGCTAATTATAAAAATATCACTAGGTGAATTCTTTTGCAAATGCCAGTGACTGTAACATGTGTTACAAAATCTTAGAACATATATTAAAATACATTTTTCAGAGAACAGCCACCAAATTGGAGATCAACAGGGTCATGCTGAAGTTTGCTAGCTAGAAATAGCATAGTTAAAACTGTACCCAGATACTATAAATAATAAAGTGTCTTGTATAGATTTTCAGTCTTCTGGGAAGTGTTCCATTACTGAAATCAATTAAAGTGTGCAGGAATCATTATGATATGTATAGTTATCAGTATATGAATTACTACTTGGTGACAGCCTTCATTCTCATAGTTTCAACAACCTTGTCAAGAAAAAAAAAAATCACAATTTCCACCAACATTTGCAACCCAATGGCCAGCATTTGGCCTGGTTTCTTAGCTTTGTGTTTTAAAACTTAAGGTATTTCTCATGATTTTATTTATTTTATTTCCATTTCTCATGATTTTATTTCCATTTCAACTTGCACTAGCAGTTGCTGGCCCCACAACAGATAGCTTGCTTTCCAGCACTGGCCTAATTAAAAAACAGCCCTTTTATTTATCTCACTTACTTGGGGTTTGTAGGCCTCTGAGTCTGTCACTGTTGGCCTACAGTAATACAATACGTTCAAATATCTTCCCTAAGAACAAGTATAAGGCACTAATAACCTAGGCCTCTTCTGTTAAATTCTTGGTTAAAAACTGTAAACACAAGGGGTCCAAAGTGCCTCAAAGTACAGCAAGGAGCAAGGGAATTACAAAGAAAGGACTTTGCATTTGCTTGCCGGCAATTTGATCACAATAGAAAGCAGTTCACTCTTTGTCGCATGTGAATGTTGTTTTAATTGGTGTTTTCCAAAGTCGTTAAATACTACAAAGGCTGAGTTCTAAAGGGAGTTAGGTTTCCAGGTGTGTCTGGTCAGCCTTTTCTGCTGCCTTGTCAGCAGCAGAAGCCATAGTGATTTGGCTTGCCATAGGTGTATGTATACTTTTGGATTGGAGATAAGTAGCCACCCCTCTCTTGTTTTACTCCTATGCCTCATGCACACTTTATTCCAGTACCCTAAATGGAAGACTTACTAGAAAAAGAACTGGTTTTGCAGTGATTCCCTGTTGATACTCTTCATCTGTTCTGCTTCATGAGCAAGTTTGTTATAGTCGCTTGAATCTTCAGGAACCTTCAAACCCTACTCCAATTTCTTCCCCTAGATAACTAGAGTTTCCTCTGTAGTGGATGAACTAGGTTGGCATAGAGAGTTCCTGTGTATCCATATCCATGGTAACATTCTGGGCAAGTAGGAAGCACACTAATACTACTTATCCTCCCCTAAAATTGTCAGTATTGTTACCAAGTAGAATAACAATACCAAGTCAATCAGCAAGTAGAAGTTCCTTTGTATTATATTCAATTATCTGAATATATATTCATGTGCCCTCTTTGCCCTCCTGTGTTCACCCTTCCTACAAAAAACATCCCCTTTTTGTGATCTTTACTCCTTAATCATTTAGCTATCTCTGTGCAGTTATATATTTTGGCCTTCAAATAGTTTGTCTTTACATTTTCACTGGGCATGGAGAGCAGAAAACAGAGGTGTGAATTCTGGGGAAGCACAGAAATTCCTCATTAAAAAAAAAAATTCTGTCAATGTCTTCCCCCTTCATTCAAACTGAAAATCCACTACATCTGTTTGCCTGCAGGACAGTTACAGAGAAACAGCCACTCCTCTCCCCCTATTTACTCCTAGTGTTACCATGACTTCTAAAACTGCACTATGTTAAAGAAGAATTCTTGGCATATCTGACAAGACAAGCCTACTGTCATTTGGTGATATAGTCTATGGGCTTGCTAAGACATTTCTAGCTCCCATCAAAGCCACTCTTTTGCGTGATTGTGTGCAGTGAAGGGTTAAAAGGCGCTGGGAATACACCACGCATGTGTTAATTCCTGCAGCAGCAGCGCGTATCTCCGCGGCTTTGACCTCACAGTTAATCTACGTGATAGTTAATCACAGACAGATGCTAGTTATTTTTCTATTGCTTTTAAATACACACACAAGGACTTGCCCCCTCTAAGAGAAAAAAAAAAAGAAGAAAACAAAAGCAAGCCCACCTAAAATGATGATCCTAGGGGAGTCTGATTGAGAGCAAGGGACAGGAGTTTGTGTGTGAGTGTGCGCGCCTTTCTCTCCCTTATTTGTCTGGATATGCGTCTCTCTCAGTTCCCTCCCCCTATCTCAATTATATTAACCTCCCCCCCTCCCCACCACCACCACTTGGAAGCCGCTCCCTGACGCTTTGATGGTATCTGAGAGCGTTTGTGCTGATGTTATTTCTGCCCCCTGAATATTAATTTCCGAAACTGGTAGCAATACATCTCCCCAGCGAGGGACCTACTAAAGGCAGGTGAGGGGGAGGCACCATCAGATCATAGCATAATAATACAAAGGGGAGGGATTTTTCGGCTACCCAGAGGCAAGACGGGAGAGGAAGAAGGGGGAAAAAAGCGATGAGTTCGCCAAATAGATGGAGCACAGGAAGCTCAGTCTACTCGACTCCTGTATTTTCACAGAAAATGACGGTGTGGATCTTGCTACTGCTAGCGTTCTACCCCGGGTAAGATGTGCCATTTTCGGCGTCGTTTTGTTCCAAGGAGGTGGGGGAAGGGGTGGGTTTGTGGAACTACTGAGACAGCCCTCTCCCCCAGATTTGAAACACTCTTCTGGGAACTGGGGCTTTATATATAATATTAGGGGATGTGAATATATCGGGCGGGAAAGGGAGGGAGGAAATAGATGATTGTCGTTTATTCATTGTTTGAATTTATTTGTTGAGGCGTGGAAAAGCTAACCTCATAAAAACTGTGCTTGGAGTAGCATTTTTATATTACTCCTACTTGATATAGAGGTGGACTGTGCTGAAGTACGCAGACATTTGAGGCCATGTTGGAGGCGTTTTGGCTGGGGGGTCTGGAGGGAAAAGCGGCAAATGGGGTCTTGGCTCATACTCAGGTGATACGTGAAAGAAGGAGGGGGAGGGGTTCTGTTCTAGTACACCAAAGTATTGCTTGCACCTGGGAATCCTTAAGGTCAGTCAGCCAGGTTTTCTATCCCGCCTCGTGGACCTGACTGCTGATTCCGTGATGGGAAACCTGGTTCAGGACCAGGGACAGCAGTCCCAGTTGAGGCCCAGGGGATGGAGGCTTGACAAATCCCAGGACTTTCACTATAAAATCTACACATGACACCCATGTAGTGCAGACAGAAGGCAGAAAGAGAGCCAAGGAGCATTCGTGAAGTCCAGGGACAATGTTCTGATTATCCCTACCTCCTCTATGAGATGGAAGCTGGACTGTGGGTTGGAGAATGTGGTTGATCAAATGCATGGAGGAATTTTTGTCTAGGAAAGAGTAAGTCTTGCTGCAGTGTTGAAAAATATCAGAAGCAGGTGTATGCGGTGCCAAAATTGTGAAGTCTGCACAATTGTTTTAGAGCTTTGCTGCACTGAATAGAAAAGAAGGGGAGGGAGGCAATGGAAGTCCCCCAAACCCTGAGCAGATATGTTTTCTGAAATGCTTTGTATCTACATTTTCTTGAACTTTCTCCCACCAAGAATATTAGGAAAGTATTCTTCCCATACTGTTCACCATTTATCTAACCATCTAGTCAGCCTACTCCTCTCTCCCCTACCCCCCAATGTCCCCCTCCACCCTCAGGATTTCCACACAGGCCAAAGGAAGGCTAGAGGTCTACTCTATATTACCAGCATTCTTTTACACTATTATTTTGAAATAAAGCCCTTAAATTATACCAAATTCTACTAGAAAAAGAAGACAAAAATTAGCAAAAGAGAAAAGCCAAGCCATTATTTTAAAGGTTTGTAGATGACACTCATGTATACTTGTAACAAAGAGAGATGAAAGGGATGATGAAGGTTAAGCTATTTATTATTTTACTGAAAATACCCAGTTATCTTCTCTGTTCTTCATTCCCTAGGATAAGTAATGGGAAACACAGATTTCTGATAAAGACCTAGGCAAAACAAGGAGTAAGAAAGCCTCTATTTGGACTTTCTAAGTAGAGACAGTCTGCTTAATTCTTCAAGCAGACTTCATAGCTTTTTGTAAAATGGAATGACTTTTTTATTAAGGATATTTGGTTAAGTATCATTCTCACAAGAGAAGTCCTTTTACTGGAAATTATTATATAAAAATATTTTGGGCTCCTGGAGAAAATATTTTCTATTACAACTTGCATGTATCTTTTTGCTTAATCTGTATAGTTCTTAATTTTTTTCTCAGAAACTAGAGAATAAATAGTGGATTTCACATGGAAAATGTCATTCTTCTATTTTTACTATCAGAGGAACCTGTGGATTAAAATCTGGATAAGACAAATCAAGTATGTTTTTCAACTCATGAAATTCACCTTAGTAGACAATTTTAAGACACAATATATACAGACATTCTTAGATATTTTATCTCCTATGGTCTTATTTTAACCAAAAATATGGATTTTTTTTATTATGCTAGAACCACATTTATGATTTCTTTTTGCATCAGCCCCACCTTTCCATTATCATATAAAAAGTAAAACTTGGCAGTGAATTTAAATTTTCACTCAGCAGAGTATTTTTTGTAACCAGCTGTAAGTAATGGAAGTTATTTGTCATGAAAATTCTAATGGGGAGGGGATTCACATTTCTCAGTAATGACAGAAAATTGGAGTCATTGCAGTTTGGTGCAGAGATTGAGAGCAGAGTTTCAGTTTACTGCAATCCCATAAAAAGTCATTTGAATGGTTAAATAGGGCTGAAGAGAACTAGAAGCTTTATGCTCTGAAATATGTGGGGTCCAAGGAGTGAACATAAGGGGTTTTCTGTGGCAGAATCACTTAGAAAGTTCACAGAAAAATGAGGAAATAATCAGTTGACTTTTACCTAACCCCCGAAGAATGTTTTCTCCTCCCTCACTTTAACTATATTCATTAGGCTGTGCTACACAAAAATAAAACAAAGAGGGCTACAAAGCAATGAAGTGAGAATAACTAATAACTTCTTATGTAGGAAATGAGTAAATTTCTTAAACTCAAAATTATCTAAATTGTCAGATATCTGTTTACAAGGCTATAAGAATCACCTGGAGGCCTTGCTAATGAAAATGGAGATTCCTGAGCTATTCACTGAATGATTCAGAATACTTATGTCTGAGGTAGAGCTAGGGAGATTTATTTTCAACAAGTACCTTGGACCATATAGAAGAAAAGTTTTGCATGCTTTTCATAATATTTATAAGTACTATGATTTTTGTTGCTTTACTATTGAACTTAGTACATAGTCAATCTCACACATGGAATTTTGTATTTCTACATCCCTTCGTGCATTATAGAAACACAAAATATAAAGATTAGCTATAAAGGACCTTAAATTCATCTCATGTATGAGAAAACACTGGATAAGAGAATAAAATATGTATACATATATGACTTATTTATTCTTACAGTCAAACAATATATAGATGTCATGTTCACAACACTGGATAAGAGAATAAAATATGTATACATATATGACTGTATTTATTCTTACAGTCAAACAATATGTAGATGTCATGTTCACAGATCCTTATATCCAGGTATTTTTTTAAATTCTAGTTTTGTAAATTCTTTCAACATCCAAGTATTTTATTTTTTAATTCTAGTTTTGTAAATTCTTTCAATGTATCTGCATTCCATCTTAGAACATTCTTAAGAAAAAAAAGAAAAGAAATCAGATAAAAAGACAACTATAAATCAGAGACATTCTGCAGTGGAGAGGGAAGGGGTCAAAGTGAGGGCAGGAAGAGCACAAGGAACTATGAGAAGGTGCTCTGGTGAATTGGTAGTGGGAATTCTATGGGGACTATACCTGAGAAAGAAAGCAAACATTGTACAAAAAGGAACAATGGTGTAATATATATATATATATATATATATATATATAAAATCAGTATAAAACCAATTCTATTTATAATAAGGATTAAAAGCATTTCTATTAAAATAAAACACAATTTATAATTAGGTTGATAACTATTTTTCAAGGATAGATTGAGCAGAGATGAATTTGAATCTTTGCTAATTATTTTAGCACTGAGAAGTGCTTGCACTGACTTTAAAAAAATGAATCTCTTTAAAAAATGATTTTCAAGTACTGATTTGTATTTTCTTGTTCAGATGAATTTCTTAACTGCTAATTTTTTTTAATTTAAAAAGTATATAATAACTTATTTTTACCTCATTTTGTGCCTTTTTCCATCTCAGTTGTAATCCCCGTGGGCTTCCCCTCACCAGATTACCTGTGTGCCATTATCTCCCCCATCCTGCCCCAACCCCCCCACAGTTTTTGATCCCATTCCACATTCCACCCCCATAAAATGTCTATGGTATATAGCTGTTCATTATTATTATTAATTTTTCTTGCCTGGTCCTTTATACTCCTGCTATGAGTGAAACCATCCGGTATTTTTCCTTTTCTTTCTGGCTTATTTCATTAAGCATGATCTTTTCCAGCTCCATCCATATTGCTGCAAAAAGCATGTGTTTATTATTATTATTATTATTATTTTGATTGCTGAGTAATATTCCATTGTGTATATGTACCACATCTTTTTAATCCAGTCATCCACTTTTGGACATTTGGACATGTGGACATGTCTTTCCATTTGTAAATAAAGCAGCAGTAAACATGGGGGTGCAGGTGTCTTTTTGAATCAGTGTTTTTGTGTCTTTTGGGTAGATACCTAGCAGTGGGATTGCTGGGTCATATGGAAGCTCCACTTTTAACTGCTCAAGTTTCTTTTGACCCATGAATAATCTCTTCATAGTTTTTTTTTTAATATTAAACAATTTATGACTATGCAATCAGGAAATACTATGATTCTTCAGTGATCCTGTTTACAGAATTAATCTCTACAAACTAGTTATCTCCTAGCTTTCCAAATATTCTACATGGATTTGAATATTATGCTTCCAGCATATTTATGCTTCCAGCATTTTAAATAGTATACCCTGAGGCAAACATCTACCTGAAAGAAAAAAAAAATATCACTCAGCTATTTGGAATCTAGCTGATCTAAAAATACTTGACTTATAGAATATTGTAGTAGTCAAGGTATCTGTTCTACACATTTTAAAATTTGCTCCAAGCCAAGGGTTTCTGCACAAATAGGAAGTTAAGGCTTATTTCAGAGACTTTACATTCATTGCACATCTTATATGTTAACTATTATGTTAAGAAGGACATACTTACTTTTACTCCCAGCCATTCCAAGACAGACCTTCCATATGAATCACAAATAGACTTCACTAGAATGATCTGTTTCATGTCCCTGGAGTACTTATGCTAAATTCAGTGATCATAGAAGATTGATTAAAAGTGGTAATTAGCACAGTTCAGGAATTGTTTGACCACTGTGGGTGTCAACACTATTTATGTGCTTATGAGATTCAGGGGATGGCATTCCAGTTGTAATACCCTATTGAATTACCTAGGAAGAGGTGCCATCCCTCAGAGGTCTATATGACAATTTCAATGTCAGGAATCAAATAATGACAGCATAATAATTTCAGCCACATAATGTGTGT